ATGGCTTTCGTCGGACGCCAAAGTTCTGATCTAGTCCATTTGTTCTTCTAGTGAAGAGGTATTTTTTATCGTGAGTTGCCATTGAAGGTGAAAAATACCATGGAAACACCAAGAGATAGAGATTTGGGGATGATACCAAAGAATTACGATAAAAATCATGGCAATTTGTGATTTCTTGACCTTAATGATTTTGGATCTCTTTTAATTCTTTACTATTTATTCTCTTATTTCATGAAAATTTTAGATGGAATGATTTTATTTCGTTGAATTTCTGATGGGTCTGTGTAACCTATCACATAAGAGTGGAGATGAGGAAGAAAGGAGGTGAGGGCGAGATGGAGAGAGCCCTCCAAAGATACACTCATTTGAAGCAGGGGCGGCTCAATAGCATCTGAGGCCTAAAGAAAGGACTTAATAAGAGGCCTAATATATATATATANTTGTTTTATAAAGTAAAAAAAGTAAACACACTTAAAGTTGATTTCATCACAACTGAAATGAGAGAACCCAGAAAATATACTTCCTCCGTTTCAACTTATGTGACACCCTTTTTTTAGTCAGTCCCCTTTTTATATTTGGTAATAATTTAACTTTAATTTTTTTTTACCCTTAATGAGACGATTTCTAGTCATACAAGTTTGAAAGAAACTAAGGGTCCACCAAACTATAAAGAGAACCAGGTTCTCTATAAGTTCTGACAGAACAAACGCACACTGCATTAAGTAAGTGACACAATGGAATTTTACGTGAATAATTCCCAGCTCAAGATATTAAAAATCACGACCTACCCTTATAGGATTTCAACTTCACTACTGAGCAAACTTCAGATTACAGACTATTGTAACCTAGGAATTAACCTCTTAATCCCTCACTAACTTGTAACAACTCTATTATAAGCCCCTTTGTAATAACTCTATTACAAAGCTTACAACTCGACTAACTCTAGCCAAAACACAAACACAAGGTTTATGATTTTACAAAGATTTCTTACACAATGCTTCTAACTAAGCTAAGTAGAAATTACAAGTAAAGTACTTTAACAAAGGTGCAACACAACTAAGGACATCCAATGACTCAATACAGGAAACTGGTCTTTCGTTATGTTGTTCTTTGTTCTTGATGCCCTTGAGAATCACTTGCAAGATTGACACAGACTTGAGAGAATGCTTGATCGATTCTTAAATGTGCAAGTATTTTGTTTTACCTTTTCTTGATGTTAATAATTCATTTATGACATCACTTAAATGATGCAAGCAAGTTAGGTAAAGGGCATTCCCCAAAACGTTGACTGTTGCACTATTTTTGCACTGTTGCGTGTGCGGGCAGCCACTTTACAGCTGTGGGGAGTTGACTTGTACAGTCACCAAGGGAACCGGCGGTCATCTGTTCCCTATGTTGTTACTTTGACTCTAAAGAGTTGAACCAATTGTTCTTTAAGAACTTGAGGATGTGTAACAGGTTCCTTATCTGGTTCCTATCATTAAGTTTGTTTGATCATCAAAACATAACAAGGATACATATAACCTATCCATTTTTTCCTTTTTGATAATGATAAACTTATAATTGAAGTTCCCCCTAAGAACCAAAATGGTAGATCAGTTTCCTGTATTTCCCCTGAATTTGTTCCCTCAATTATTTTCCACTCTTTTGGCATCATAAAAAGATCAGTAGCAAGCAATAAGCAAAAAGAAGTCTAGATTGGTTAACTCATGCCACATGTGTGCACACAATCATGACTAAAACTAGATCAAAAGAGCAAGACATACATAGCAAAAGGATGAAACGTCCATTAATTTTTGGAAATTAAGCAGGGAGAAGTTCCATTGTTACCAAAACATCCACAAAATAAAAACAACAAAAGGAACCAGTCATAAACATCATTAAGACTAAAAACAGAGGACGGACACTAGGAACTTGACACTGGGAAGGGAACAATTTTTAGGGAGCACTGGAAGGAGAAGTCCCAGATGAAGAGGCAAGGATTCTAAGAACGATGTCCATTCGAGCATTAGCTGACACCTGCTCGTTGAGCAGTCTCTCCTTCGGGTCCTAAACCTGTTTTCTGAGGTCAGCATTTTCTTTTGTCAGACAGGCAACCTCTATGTTTTGAGAGCTGCTAGAACCAGGTGCCTCCTGAACCTAACTGAGCTGACCTTCGAGAATGGCATTCCTTGCCTTCAACTTCCTTATCTCTTCAGTGGCACTGTTCTGAGCGTTGATCAGCTTAGAGATAGTAGAATTGCTACCAACTCCTCCACTTCTGTCAGTACACTCACACTCTTTTAGGGTGGTCTTGGAGAATGTTTGCTTGCAAGTTCCCACCTTAGCTTTTCCCAAAGGGACTTTGAAAAATTCAAAAACTTAAGTGAGGAGGAACCCGTAAGGCAGCCAATGATTCCCATCCTTGAACTCTACCACCTTCTTCATTTGTTCTATCATAAGACCAGGTAGGTTTATAGTGGTGTAGCCATCCAGTGCTTCCATAGGAACCAGGTCTGCTCGTGACGTAATGGACCATCTTTTTGCGCGTGGGAGTAGAACTTTGTTCACCAATTCAAATAGAAGTTGGTACACTGGAAGGAGGGCCTTCTTGTGTACCCGTTACCCTTGTTGTATGGCCTTATCCTTCACAATGGCATTTCTGAAGTTAGAAGAGCAGGTTCCCCCAATGGTGGACATTCCCTCAGTAGGCACGCCCAAAATGGTTCCCAGTACAGTAGTGTCCATCACAAAATCAATTCCATTCACTTTCAGACAGATATTATCATCCTCAATTGTGAAGAAGTCGGCATAGAAACTGCGCACTTCTGCCTCATAAACTTTGGGACTGTCACTAGTGAACAAATGTGTCCACTGTTGGTATTCATATATGTTAGCCAGTGGCGCATTCCTGACATATCAAGAATATCAAGGGCAAATGTTCGGCCCCAAAGCACCTTCTAATTTATCAAATTCTCCCTTTCGTCATCCCTGACCACATTCACTCTGGCCTTTTTAGAGGAACCGGGTTCCTCATTAGCACCAGTTGTTCCCTTCACTGATTTTCTTACACTCTTTCCTTTGTTTGCAGATTTCTTGGAAACCTTCTTAGCAGACTCCTCAACCACTCTTTTACCGGACTCCTCAACCACTCTCTTACCCGATTTCTCAGCTACTTTCTCACAAGATTTTTCACCCTCAACCTTGCTCAAGTCTATTTCACTCACAGATGACTCCCTTTTGGACTTTGGAACAGTAAGTTTCTTTGAGGACTTACAAATAAAGGAACCAGGTTCCTTCTACCTCATCATCAACATCAACAACTAGTGCATCAGGCACTACCTTCTCATTTACAACCTTTCCATCTTTCACCAATCTTCTCTTCTTCTTTTCCTTTTTGCTTTTCCTTAAAACTGACTCAAGTTCTTCCTTCTTCTGCAACCTAGTGATAAGTCTCTTAGAAGTTGACTCCTGGGGAGTTTCCTTTCTACTCATGGCCCTGATGAAGCTCGCAAAAGCTACATTGTCACCGTCATCTTCACTCCCTTCGTTTTCCTCCTCAGACAGAGATATCATCTCGGGAGGAACAATGGCCAATAGCTCAGCATAGTAATGAGGAGAGGGAGCGGGATCAGTACTGACCTAGGGTTCTTTAGAAGAACATGGAGTTTAATCCCAAGTAGGATCATAGTGCTCCTCTTGTGTGGAGGGATCAGGTCCCTCGGCAAGTTCCCTAGTAGTATTGTCTAGTGCCAGATTGTTGACAGGCACCAGTTCCCTTTCCTCCACCAGTAGACTATCACCTTCCCCCTTAGACCTATTTGTTTCAGACACACCTTCATACTCACCAACTACACAGCCCTCAGCATTGATTGACAACATATTATCTATGGCCTATTGTTCTTGCAAACCCAAAGTAATCACAGAAGACATAGGAAGAGCATTACTTGTAGACTCGGCGATGTTCAAATCAAGATCTGGGGTAGTCTTTGCCTATTCATCACTGTTACAACCCACTCCTTGCATCTCAGAACATTCTTCCACTGGTAGACTAGAAATTTCCTGATTGTCTTTTTCCGCGACTGTATCTGCTTCTACCATTTTTTTCAACGAGATAGAAGGAGAGGTTTCTGCCATAAATTTCTTGGGAGTCGAGGTTTTGCGACACCTATGAGAGCCAGTACTCGAGTGAGTTAGAGAGGAACCAGTAGGTGGTTGTGACTCTAGCTTAGAGTTTGGACTAGATGGTGTAGGGATTGTAAGCCCTAGCACTGGGGTTTCAATGGGTGAAGACACAGTGGGGACGATGCTTGGAACAGTCTCAGTCTCCAAATTTTCAAACATGGTGGAGGATAGTGAGAGTTTGATGGAAGAAGAAAGTGTTTGGTTTGAAGAAAAAAAAGAAATTTTTGGCTTTGATGTGAATAGTTATGATAGTGGCCGTGAGAGAGGTTATTTAAGAAGGGTGAGGGACCGGTTAGGAATGGGTATCAAGTTGGGTAGACGGGTCGTTTAATAACGGGTAGGACGCTTGAGTTCCAAAAAGAGAGAGAAAGGAAAGATTGACATTCTAATGACGTGGCACCATTTCAGCCGTTAAAAAGATGTGGATGAGAGTACATAGAAACTACTAACCTATGTCAAAGGAACCAGGTCCCCTGACAGATTTTGTAAATGTGAACTTCATCCTTTTGACTGAAATATGATGTCATTGGCTACTTGTTTACTCTGTAATCGTCATGCGTGTCTACCTGCAATGGTATATAGATGAGTTAGACTTTGCTAGAAAATACTTTTTAGCTATTTTACCTGTACATTTCTTTCCTAGCCAATCATCGGGGGACCACGTCCCTAGCTAGATTTCATTAACCCTAGTGCCAAGCAATTCTTTTCAAAGTGCTCTCTACTCAGTACTTTGGTAAAGATATATGTAATTTGATCTTCTGTGTTGCAAAACTTCATGCAGATGAGCCCTTTCTCAACATTGTCTCTGAGGAAGTGATGTTGCATATCAATATGCTTTATTTTCTTATGTTGAACTGGATTTTTGCCATGTTGAGAGCACTAGTGTTGTCACATAGTAAGGGCACACAATCAGAAAATACACCGAAATCTTCTAGCTGCTGCTTGATCCACAACAGTTGAGCACAGCAAGAGGCAGCTGCCATATACTCAGCTTCAGTAGTTGAAAGGGCCACTGAGTTTTGTTTTCTTGTACCCCATGAGATTAGACACGAACCCAGAAAATGTGCCATACCAGAAGTGCTTTTCCTATCCACCAGATAACTGGCATAGTCAGCATCATCATACCCTATTAAGTCAAAGTTATCTCTTGAGGGATAGTAGAGAACAAGTCCTGCGTTCCTTTGAGATACCTCAGAATTCTCTTTGCAGCCTTCAGATGAGACTCATTTGGATTGTATTGAACCCTGGCATAGAATCCCACATTGAAAACAATGTCTGGTCTACTTACTGTGAGATATAGAAGTGACCCAATAATGCCGCTATACATAGTCTCATTTACAGGAGAACCAGGTTCATCCATATCCAGGTGAGTGGCAGTGGCAATAGGTGTATCAATGATCTTTGAACTCTCCATCTCAAATCTTTTCAGAAGCTCTTTGATGTACTTTTGTTGACTTATCATTGTGCCCCTAGGAGTTTGCTTGACTTGTAGACCCAAGAAGAAATTCAATTTCCCCATCATGATTATTTCAAACTCATTTCTCATGAGTCTTGCAATTTATTCACACAAAGAGTCATTTGTTGCTCCGAAGATAATATCATCAACAAAGACTTGCACTATGAGCAGGTTCCTCCCATGTTTCTTCAAAAATAGAGTGTTGTTAATTTTCCCTCTTGTAAAGCCATTTTCTAGAAGAAACTTGGACAATCTTTCATACCATGCATGAGGAGCCTGCTTCAGTCCATATAATGCCTTGTCAAGTTTAAACACGTGCTCAGGATGATCATGGAACTCGAAACCAAGCGGTTGCTTGACGAAAACTTTTTCTTTCAGAAAGCCATTCAAAAATGCACTTTTGACATCCATTTGAAACAATTTGAATTCCATATGAGATGCAAAGGCAATAAGGATTCTGATGGCCTTCATTCGAGCAACTGGAGCAAAAGTTTCGTCATAGTCAATTCCTTCATCTTGATTGTACCCTTGAACTACTAACCTTGCCTTATTTCTTGTGGTGTTTCCAACCTCATCAAGTTTATTTCTAAATACCCACCTGGTTCCTATGACAGTTCTGTTAGCAGGTCAAGGAACCAGGTGCCATACATTGTTCCTCTCAAATTGATGAAGCTCATCTTGCATAGCCATAATCCAGTCAGCATCTTTCAATGCTTCTCTTGATATTTTTGGGATCAATTTGAGAGAGAAATATAGAGAAGGCAAGTGAGTTTCTAGATTTTGATCTAGTTTGAATTCCTGAGTCAATGGGGGTGATCACATTTTGAAGAGGGTGTAAGCTTTTGTGCTTCCAATTGGACACCCGAATCTCATTATGAGAGGTTCCAGGTTCTTCGGCATATGATCCATGTGACTTGTTCCTCACCTCAGCAGCTGGAGTTCTATGTACAACATCCACAACTCTGTTTTCTGCTTCAGTTATTGTGATTGAGGGACTAGGTTCCTCTATGTCAGCTGGAGATTCAGTTGTGCCATTGTCATTTGATTCCTTGACCTGACTCATCATATCGGCCTTTCCATTCGCCATGTCAATAACTTCACTAGGGACATTTGATAACTCTCCATGTTGATTAGCCTTATCATGTGCAACTTTTCCAAGAGGGTGTTGTGCTTCGTCAAAGATCACATGTATGCTTTCCTTAATACATTGAGTTCTTTTGTTGTATACCTTGTAGGCTTTGCTTTGTGATGAGTATCCAATAAATATTCCTTCATCACTCTTGGCATCAAACTTTCCCAAAGCTTCCTTACCATTGTTGAGGACAAAGCATTTGCAACCAAATGTCCTCAAGTGTGTTAGCTTAGGTTTTCTCCCATTTAGCAGTTCATACGGGGTTTTGTTTAGGAGGGACCTGATCATGCACCTGTTCACTAAGTAGCATGCAGTGTTGACTGCCTCTGCCCATAAACCTTTTGCAACACCACTATCAATCAACATTGTCCTAGCCATGTCTTTAAGAGTCCTATTTTTTCTCTCCACGACACCGTTTTGTTGAGGTGTTCTTGGAGATGAAAAATTGTGACTTATACCATTTTCAGCACAAAACTGTCACGACCCAAAATTCTAACTAGTCATGATGGAAGCTAACCCAACCCGCTAGGTAAGCCAGTTAACCACTAACCAATTCCAATAATTATTAATAAAGCAATTAAGTAAAGAAATTATCTAAATCTTATACGTTCCCCAAGAACTGGTAGTACAAATCATGAGCTTTTAAGAATAGAGTTTACAAAGCTGAAATGAAAAACATACATCGTCTGTTTGGAAAGTACATAAACAGAATTTTTATAGATCTAAGGCTACCACGAACAAGAGGTAACTACAACCGGGATGCAGGTACATCTTCAAATCCAGCTCCTATCGAACACAACAACATCAACAGCCAATATCTGCACACAAGGTGCAGAAGTGTAGTATGAATAAAACCGACCCCATGCACTTAATAAGTAACAAACCTAACCTTAGGTTGAAAGTAGTGACGAGCTAACAAAAAGGTCGGGTCCAACACCAATATACCACAACAGTTCATAACAGCATAGTACAAGTAACAAAAGAGTATCTCAGAAATAAAATGCTCAGTTCGTTCACAGTTCCAGAAAAGTAGGCATTTCTTTTTAAGTATCTCAGTGAAAACCCAAATCTTTCAGATAGCATGAGGAAAGTACTTCTCTATGCCTACATGTCAAGATACAGGTAAAATCATAAATGTCCCCAAAACTGGGTAGCAGAAGGAAATGCACCTATATGCATGTATCACAAGTACGCATGTCAAATGCAATGCATCTCGATGATGAGCTCATGTACTCACACTCTCAGATTACTCAATCTCACTGTCCTGCATTCTCTCTCACTATGCTCAGCACACTCAATCACTCAGTGATGTACAATACCCGCTGCGGTGTGCAGCCCGATCCATATTTATAGTCGACTGCGCTCACTGGGGGTGTGCAAACTCCGGAGGGGCTCCTTTCAGTCCAAGCGCTATATCGCTGCGACATGCAGCCCGACCCCATAGAATGTAATCAATATATTACTGCGGCGTGCAACCCGATCCCATAAAATATAATCAATATATTGCTGCGGCGTGCATCCCGATCCCAAAATATCACTCTCACTCAGGCCCTCGGCCTCACTCAGTGCATTTCTTTTTAAGTATCTCAGTGAAAACCTAAATATTTTATCGAAAAAGCCAAAATACGAGTAAGTTTGAAAATTGTGATTTTTCCTAAAATTCCTTTCAACAAATAGTAAGATGTTTCATTTTCAGATAGCATGAGAAAAGTACTTCTCTATGCCTACATGTCAAGATTCAGGTAAAATCATATATTTCCCCAAAACTGGGTAGTAGAAGGAAATGCACCTCTATGCATGTATCACAAGTACGCATGTCAAATGCAATGCATCTCGATGATGAGCTCATGTACTCACACTCTCAGAGTACTCAATCTCAATGTCCCCCATTCTCTCTCACTATGCTCAGTACACTCAATCACTCAGCGTTGTACAATACCCACTGCGGCGTGCAACCCGATCCATATTTATAGTCAACTGCGCTCACTGGGGCTGTGCAGACTTCGGAGGGGCTCCTTTCAGCCCAAGCATTATATCGATGCGGCGTGCAGCCCGATCCCATAAAATATAATCAATATATCATTGCGGCATGCAGCCCGATCCCAAAATATCACTCTCACTCGGGCCCTCGGCCTCACTCAGTCATCAATCTCTCGAGTCTCACTCATGGGCTCACAAAGTCATAAAACTAGACCGACAACAATGATATGATGTATCAATAAATAATAACTAAGACTGAGATATGGTATGAATGCATGGATATGGCTGAGTATGAAATATCAATGAAATCAGTAAGATGACAATAAGAAATTACCACTATGGGTCCAAACCGTATCGACATAATGCCTAAACATGATATCTAGCATGATTGATAGCTTAACTACTTTATCACATGGTGAAAACACGAATATCAACAAAGTAGGACCACTATACAGTGCCATGGGAAAAACAGAGTCTCAATTCACATAGTGCACGCCCATCACCTTGCATGTGCGTTACCTCAACACTAATAACATAACACGTATTTTGGGGTTTCATACCCTCAGCTCCAAGATTAGAAGAGTTACTTACCTCGAACAAGCCAATTCCAACACCGAGCAAGCCAAGCGATGCTCCAAAATGCCATCCCGCGTGTTCCGACCTCCGAACAACGCGAAACTAACCAAAAATATCTCAAGTACATCAAACAATGCTAAAGGAACCAATCCCGATCGAAAAAGATCAAATCTTGAATCAAAAGCCCAAAATCGGCCAAAAGCCCAACTCGGGCCTGTACCTCAGAACCCGACAAAATTTACAAAATCCAACAACCCATTCAATTGCGAGTCCAACCATACTAGTTTTACTCAAATCCGACTCCAATTCAATGTTCAAAACTCAAAAATTCATATTATGAAGCTTTAGGCCAAAACCCCCAATTTCCTCTTTAAAGTTCACAATCCAATTACCAAAAACGAAGGTAGATTAATGATATAAAATCAAAAATGAATAGGGAACACTTACCCCAGTCCACAAGATGAAAATTGCTTCAAAAATTGCCTCAATCCGAGCTCCATAGCTCCAAAAATGTAAAAACATGAACCAAAACCCTCGATAATATAGCTTCTGCCTAGCGATTCCGCATTTGCGGAAAATTCGTCGCATCTGCGACCACCGCTTTTGCTGTAAAACTTCGCTTCTGCGAAAACAACTGACCCAGCAATCCCTCGCACCGGCGTTCTTTAAGTCGCTTCTGCGATCGCGCTTCTGCGCACTTGAACTGAATCTGCGGTTGCGTAGGTGCATCTAAGAACCCCCACCTGTGATCCTCATGCCCAGCTCCCCTTCACGTTTCTGTGACTCCTCTGTCACTTCTGCGACCATCGCACCTACGCAAACCAGCCATAGGTGTTTTCACACCAGAACCAACAGCTAGTAAAAATCCAAAAATGCAATAAAATGATCTGAGCCTCGTCCGAAACTCACCCGAGCCCCTAGAGACCCTGTCCGAACATGCCAACAAGTTCCATCACACGATGCGGACCTACTCGAGTCCTCAAAACACACATAACAACATCAAAACAACGAATCACACCTCAACTCGAATCAATACATTTTGAAATTTTAAACTTTCACAACTGATGCCGAAACCTATCAAATCACGTCCGATTGACCTCAAATTTTGCACATAATTCACATTCGACATTACGGACCTAATTCAACTTCCGGAATTGGAATCTGACCCTGATATCAAAAAGTCCACTCCCGATCAAACTTTCCAAAATTTCAACTTTCGTCATTTTGAGTCAAATTCAACCACGGACCTCCAAATCACAATCCGGACGCGCTCCTATGTCCAAAATCACCCAACAGAGCTAACGAAATCATAAAAATTCTAATCCGAGCTCAAATGCTAAAAAGTCAAACTTGGTCAACTCTTTCAAATTTAAAG